GGTCCTGGGGCTTGAACTCAGGAACTGGGCACTGCTCGTGAGCTTTTTTTGCTGAAGGCTAGTGTTCCACAACTTCCAGCTCTACTTCCAGCATTTTGCTACTTAATTGAGGATAAGAGTCTCAAAGACTTTCCTGCTCAAGCTGACCGTAAACCACAATCTTCAGATCCGAACCTTTTGATTAGCCAGGATTACAGGTGTGAATTACCACACCCAGCAAAAATCTTTAATAGGTAAGTCAGACTCTTTTCTATATATGCCAAGGAGACTTCTACTTCTTTGATTTCTATAGCTTGCATCAGAGGTTAAGATACTTACTTTTTCAAATAAAATCTTTAATACTAAAAATGACTTTTCAAGCTACATAATATATACACAGAATAATCTATGCTGCTATGAGTAATTATAATTTGACAGTTTCTTTACAGATGAGCTAGCTCTCCTATCCACATGATTTCAGCAACTTACACACCAAAGACTCAAATATTCCTAGCTTCTATTAGCAGACTTACTACTTAATTTGGCTGGCATAGAAATACATCAAATTTAAAGAGGTCTACAGTAGGATTTGTCATTATCTCTAAATGACTTTTTTTTGGTGTGTATGGGGGGAGGTAGTGCTGGTTTTGGGGCTTGAACTTAGGGCCTGAGCAGTATCACTGAAATTCTTTTCACTCAATGCTGGTACTCTATCACTTGATACAGCTCCACAGTGGCTTTTTTCTGTTAATCAGAGGTAAGAGTCTCATGGACTTTGCTACCTGGGCTGGCTTCAAACTGAGATCCTCATATCTAAGCCTCTTGAGCAGTTAGAATTACAGGTGTGAGCTACCAGTGTCTGGCTAAATGAGACAATTTTTAAAGAGGTCTAAAATGGAGTTATTTATTAATGCCTCTAAATGAGGTGCCATTTCATTGTCTTTATTAATTAATGGTACAATTGTGTATCTTATTATAGCCTACAAGAGCTCATGAGCTGAGGGCTCATTCTTGACCACTACATACTCTTAAATTGTACCTAAATGATTACTAAGTGCTGCCAAATACTCCTCCCTGGAGGATTCTGAGTCAGGATATTCCTATCCTTGAAATGGCTTCTCTACCACTCCATCATCCTTTATTGTAATTACTTTAAAAAAAAAAGTATCTAAAGTAGTCTCCATGACTCTGGTCATCCTCCATCTTTTCTCTCCATATCACAACCATCTACCAACCAATCTACATATGTCTCTAAAGACCATGCAATTTAGCCCTTCAGTGATGGTCCATTACACAATTCGAATTCAAAACCTTACGCAATCCAGCTCATACCTACTTCTATACCAAACACTTGCCACTGAGTTTCTACTATTCTTGAAAAAAGGCCATTTTGTATAGGGTTGCGGATGTAGCTCAGAGCACCTGCTTATTAGCACATTATTAGGGAGGGAGCTCATGTTGTGATTATCAGGTTGATTTTGGCCTGATGTCTATTTTTCATTTGAGTTTTCCTGGAACACTGCCATCCTTCATTCTTTACAAATTGCACTTGGCTGAACAGTTGCAAGCGACCATATGGCCCACAAAACCTAAAATATTTACTATCTTGCTTTCAAAGAGTAAGGTTTGCTGACCCTTTGCTCTCTACCAGAAATATTGAGCAGACTATATCTAGATAAACCAACAATGCCTTTGTTATTTTTCCATCCTTTGATTAGACCATCCTCACCTAAGAGTATGCCTTTACCCATCTACCTATCTGACCCTGTCAAAGGTAAAATGAGTTTTTAACCAATAGACTACATTCCCTATCCAGACGTCTGTCATTCAATTACAAACTGCATTACAATTATCTGTGGCTTTTATTAGTGTGTATGTGTGTTTGTACTAGGGCTTGAACTCACTCAGCATTTTCTCTCACAGATAGTACTCTACCACTTGAGCAACTCTGCCAGTTCTTATACTTTTAAATAGCATCACCTATTGGACTATGATATTACTAAATGCACAAACTGTATATTAACACTTCACAGAAGACATACTAAGTATTTAAGAGAATAAATAAGTAAAAATAAAATACTAACAGCACAGGTTCTTAGAAATCATCCCTGGCCTACAGTATTTTTCATGGAAACTTCTAGGTGACAAAAGTCATGTCATGATAATTGTTTTATTATGTAATTTTTCTGGGATCTCTAAAGTATCTTAATTATAAACACTCAAGAAGGAATTTCTTCATGAACTTCCAGGACACTGAGAGCTACATGTATGGTGTCTGCTTCTACAGTAAGTCTTAAAACATATATCTTCCCCTACACAACCAAGCCTAAATTTAAGACTAAAAATACTCCTGTGAGTTATTTCCTGTATTTTATCATCTGAAATCCTAGAATGATTTTTCTACCAAAAAAGAATAGCTGAACATATTTTACCTTTTCCAAATCAGTGAACTTTTCCTGTAGTTGTCTCTTCTCCAGCTCTATTTTTGCTAGTAAGATTTTGCCATTCTTTAAATCTTCTTCTAGGCCAGATATTCTGCCTAAAAATTGCAACTTTTTAAAAACAATGTACCGACAAGTTATATGCATCAATTAAGAGTAAAATATTTGGAAGCTGCCTCCTATTTTGTAGCTATTAATGGTGAGCAAGTTTTATACTTGCTGGCAAAATGGTTTACAGTTAATTCAACTAAATTCAATTGACCACCATCAACTAGAACTCAATATTGCAGATATTGGTAGTCTGAAATTTAAAATAAATCTCTTGTTCATAAACTTTTTTATTTACGTATTTCTAATGTTCTAACTTTATATAACAGTACAATATTCTAGAGTGGTATTCTAGAGCATTATCCATTACCTGAAGTTATTTCCAAATTGAAGATAATCAAAATTAATTCAAGTGCACATTCTACTATCATACCTTGCAAATCATTAATTATCTCTGATCCATGGGTCCGGTCCCTCCTTTCAGATTCTAGAGCTGACTGAAGATTGATAAATTCTTTCTCAAGTTTTAACTTGGCAGTTTCGAGCAGGCAGTTTTTATCTTGCAGATCTCTATTGTTAGACTCCAGCTGTTGAATCTGTTTTGAACTTTCTGCCTGGGTTTTTCTTAACCGAGCTGCAGTATCAGATTCTGTTCTCAGCAAAGCATGCGTTTCATCCAGCTGTTATCCCATTCAAAAGCAAAAACACTCAGGTATATATAATGAAAACACATTAATTTATTACCTCATTATAAAATACTCAAAGTAAATAATAACCTACAAGTATTTTCCTAAGGACAGAGGCTAAGCCTTCTGCAACACTGCCAATTTCAATTCATGTTAACCAGCCATCGTAAGTAAAACTCATTATCTGTATCAACAGAGATAAACCTACTTGTTTCTGGAGTTGATTTACTTTCTCAGTGGATATCTGAGAGTTCTGATTTCTTTTTTTCAAATCTTCAAGTTGATCTTTTAGGCTGTTAACTATGATAAAAAATATTTTAGTGGCAATTTCCAACAACACACATACAGAATATTTTTCTTGACAAATATTTAATATTCTACATTACAAACCATCATTTTCTAAATTCCGTTTCTTGTCAGCTTCATGATCAGCTTTCCGTTGATATTCTGCGTTTTTGTGCTGAAGTAGGGCCTTTTCTCTTTCCAATTGTCTTAATGCTGATTCCACATTTTTCCGTAATGTAATCTGAAATAATGCTTACTGTTATCACCAAAAGGAGATATGCATAAAAAAAAAAAAGCAAAACTTCAGTGAAGGGGCCTCCAAAAATAGAGCTGTCACTGAGCCAAAGACTAGAACCAGGAGGATCCTGGCTCAAGGCCACTGCAAGTATAAAAAACATGGGACACCATCTTAGTTGGTATGTATCTGTCATCCTATCTTCATGGGAAGTTGAGATCTGGAGGACTGGGATTCAAGGCTAGCCTAGCCAAGTTTATAAGACTCCATCTTAACAAAAAAATCTGGGTGGGTGGGCTGGGAACATCGCATATGAGTTTGATTCCTCAGTACCACATACAACAGAAAAGGCTAAAACTGGGGTTGCGGCTCAAGTGGTAGAGTGTTAGCCTTGAGCAAAAGAAGCTCAGGGACAGCGCCCAAGCCCCAAGTTCAAGCCCCAGGACTGGCAAAAAAACAAAAACAAAAAAAATCAGGGAATGATGGTGTGTACCCCTTTTCTCTGCTATAATGGAAAGAATAAATAGGACTGAAGCTCAGACTGACTCAAGATAAACAGTGAGACCCTATCTCAAAATTAACAGTGCAAAATAGACTAGAGGTATGATTTAAGCAAGAGAGTGCCAGACTAGCAAGTACTGATCCCTGAGTTCAAATCCCAGTACTTCCCCGGCAAAAAACTTACATTATTGCTAAAATGATCATTTCTCATTTTTATAAAATAGCACACTATTCTTAAATAAGACCATATTTTAGTCACTATTGAAAGCACAATTTTCTGTAATTTTCTTGAACCACAACCACCACCACCACCGTCGTCGTCATCATCATTTTTGTTGGTCATGGGGCTTGGGCACTGTCCTTCAGCTCTTTAGCTCAAGGTGAGCACTCTACATGTGAGCCATAGTGCCACTTCTGGTTTTCTGGTGGTTAATTGGAGAAAAAGAATCCCAGGCCCAGAGTTCAAGCCCCATGACCAATAAAAAAAAAAAGAAAAGTCACTTGGTTTTTAAACCAAAATAACCAAAATAAAAACATCATTTTTAAACTTGAAATATGTATATATACTAAATTAAGTCTATAAAAACAGAATGACATGCAGGTAATAGAAGTTACCATACAATTTCATACTTCATTGTTACAAAGGCGTATTTTACCATCTACCAAGATACCCAGTATTGCAAAAAGGATAAGGTAATTTTTACCTCTTCTTCCAGCTCTTTTGCTGTTTTTTCTAGTCGAGTATTAATGCATCTAAAAAATTAAAAAGAAACAGTAAACAAAATAATTCAAATTTATGACATAAGCAGTCTACAAATATAAAAGTTTTAAAATCTACTATTTGTGTACAAGACATACTTGCACTTTTGTTCTAACTCTTCTTTGGCTTGAGTCTCAGTGTTAAGTTGTTCTTCTAATATATATAGTTTTTTCTGAATCTGTCAAAGAATAAGAAATAAGATTTGGTCCTATTTAAAGACGAGGCTTAAAGATAATCATTACTTTGCTTTTCTACTTAATACGGTCTCCAACCACCATATTTGTCCCTGCATTCTGCGACTTTTACAGGCAAAGAGGACATCTACTATCACTTCACACAGGAGCACACACACACAACCAGGAATGAAGAAGCTCCCACTTAGGCTGAGTTGTGCTATGACACAACTCAGTATATTCAAATTCAGTATAAAGAAAGGACCCAGGTCTCAGTAGTCTCAAATGTTCTTCTACAGATTCTTCTTTATTTGAAAATACTGTGACTGACTGTGCTCATGAGATGAAGATGTAAGATCTACATGTGAAATAAATATACAGAATATCCTCTAAGTATACACAGAAATGTATTGCTGCTTAAATGTGAGCAATTAGCTCTTCTTTTGTATTTTCCTCCAGTGTTGGGCACACTACTATGAAGAGTTATTAATGAATCCTGAATAAATGACAGCTAATTACTTTATAAGTTCTTTCTTCATTAGCTTTCCATAGATATGTTAGTCTTCAAACAGACTGAACTTTAAAACTACTAAGTAATTCGTGTTTCAAAATGTGATTTCCTTTTCAAAGGATTTAACTTTTTAAGTTCCTTTAGTGCACTGGGTACAATGTTAGGTGCTTTTCAAGTTTTGTCTCATGCCATGGCAATATGACTAATACGCAGTATTCCCATTGTCTGACCAGTGGCTGTGTTTTCCCTGGTGTCTCAAATAAATACCTCATGTACCTTACGAAAACAATACTCTGGTTCCAAAATAAGATGTATGCTAACAAACTAATCAAGTTTAACTGTTCTGGACTGACAGTACATTAATTTGAGCATATCAGTTATTACAAGCTAGTCAGAAGTTCTATCAGTATATATTCAACAAAGTAAACTACATAACATACTTAAAACAACAAGGAAAAGATTAAGAGGGATACTTGACATAATAAAGGTTGGGCACTTCGCTCTCAGGTAGATGTGGCACTCCAAATAAAAGGCAGACAGTGACTATATTAAATCATGCTAGACTGGAAGTTTTTCAATACATTTGACAACATACCTCTTGACTTTCCTATGGAAAAAAAAAAAGAAAACAATAAAATGTTTACTATGCCTAATAAAAGTCTTAAAACACCAAGTCAGACCAAAATTATCCATTCCATTTTCTATCTTATCCTGAATTTAAAGAAAATATTTGAACATTGTGTGTGATTTACCTTTGTATGCAGTAATAAATCATAGTAGTCATAAAATACTATAGCTGATAAAAATATCCTTTATAGAAATACATTCTTATATAGAAACTCAGAATTTGAATCCCTCCCTGACTTATTGTACCTTGTACCTTAGTAGCTGTGCTTTTACATCAAGACTATAAAATTTTCTAAGTGGTATTATAGCTTGAAAGCATGTACAATCCATCTCTTTACTAGCTATCATGTTTCAAACAATGAAGCTATGCACATAAATAATAATTTCAATATTATGACAAAATGTATCAAACAACAAATGCCACCTCATGATTTAAAAAGTAGCATCATGAATCCAGGTGTAGTACAGTGGTACAGGCCTGGAATCCCAGCTCTCAGTAGGCTGAAGCAATAGGATCACAAGTTTGTGGCCAACTTGCAACAGGATCCTGTCGTAAAAAGTAGGATCCAGTAATTTTGCTTCATTTTGTTGACACACACACACACACACACACACACACACACACACACGTGTGGAGATAACAGGGCTGGACTCAGAGCCTTGAGTATTCTTACTTGGTTTGTTGCTCACAACTGGTACTCTAGCATGTTAGCTAACAAATCCAGTCCAGTATTTCTGCTGGCTAGTTGGAGATAGTACTGAAGACTTTCCTGCCCGAGCTGGGTTCAAATCCTATTTTTTGATTCCAGCCATCTGAGTAGCTAGGATTAAAGGCATGAGGCCAATGGTCTGGCTTCAAGTAAACTTTTTTTTAAAAACTCATCATTATTATTAAAGTTTATTATTATAAAATAGCTAGTGTGGTTAAAAATGTATACATACTTCATTTTTCCTTGATTGTATTGAATCATTTTCTCTACAAGATGGAGAGTCACTTAATAACCTAAAAAGAATGGAGAAAAGTTGCACTTCATTTTAAATCTAATTTAAATCTAAATATCTAAGTAACAAGTTATTTTCAGCATTAAATATCAATCGCAATGATATCTTACTCTTTTTACTTAAATATATTGCTGGGTCTGGGATTACTACCTACAACTCTTCCCTCTTCTCATCTCATTTGAATTTCTCTGAGCATTACAGTCTACCCCATATTCTACAAAGAGACTCTTTTCTCACAGTTAATATCCATGATCTGCAGATCTTAGACAAAAATTGTCACTCTGTTGTACTGTCAACTTCTCCATCTTCTAGATCTTTCCTACTATCAACCAACCTGACGACGTTGCTCCTGGCACTGATATCTCATTTTGCTCAGCATTCTGATGACTAAAAAACATTAGGAGGATGACCAAGCACGCTAGATTGGTTGACAGGTTTCTAGTTTTATCATAAAAATCCCATGTCTCATCTGAGGAAACAGGCCTGGGCAAATAGTGACACTTGGTCACTCCAATTGTCACATACAAGCCTCAACTGTCTTTATCAGTCTTCAGAGGCTCCTCACTGCCTGTCAGTCACAATTTCCTTAGACAAGTTACACAGCAATCACTGTGATTCTTTCCCTAAATTCCAACTCCAATCTATTTTCTACTTTACATTCAATTTATGTTGACTTCAGTCAACTAATATTTACTTGATGACCATGTACCAGGGTCTGTTGTAACTGCACACATTACAGGTCAGAAAACCACAGTTTCCTTGGGTTGTCCTTAGCATCCTACTGGACTATACTACTACTCCCAATGTATGTGTACATCCAAATTTCTTCTTCCACCCTTTCCTTCACCATAATGCTCTGCTCTCTCCCTACACCTCGACCCTAGTCTCCTCACTCGAAATCCTTCACTATCATTACACAGCTAAAATGCTTCCTCTTCCTTCACTTAGCTGACTTCTCTCTACTTCCATTCAAAAGAAATGTGACCCTTTTCCCCTTTTAATTCTTTTGGTACCTTTTTAAAGGCACATATCACATTCTACCCTTCTTTATTACTACAGCTCCATCAAAAGCAATTATTTGTTCTTATTCTAAATCTTCAAAAGAATAGAGAAAACTGCCTTGTCATAAATAAATGTAGCATTCAATGTCAATGGTGGAATAAAATTAAGAACATTCTTATAGTCCTTTGAAAAAATCAAAGTTAAAAACAAATTAACAATAATCTCTATTATTCGGTCTCAAGATATCCTCTGAAGAGTGAGGTTATGAAAACAAAACTGAACAAATCACATACAAATTTTCTCTATAGTAGGTAAATCCTATAAAAGGCAGCTGATTTCCTACAAAAGCTTTAGGAATTGGGAAGGTTTCTACGTCTCCTTTATCATCTTCAATGTCATCAAAATTGCTGCTGTCTATATCGCTGCTGAGTTCAGGCACTACAGGAGCCGCCGCTGTTAAAGAAAAGAAATCACTTATTTCATTCACAGCTAAAATAGGAGATACAAACCAGTTCTATTTTTATGACAGATTAAATCATGTTAAATTATATAAAATACCTTATTTACTATATGATATTTAGCAATGTATCTTCCATTTTATTATTTCCTAGAATTAAACTTTACAAGAAATTTTTTACTCTATTAGGTCAGCTTTAAATATGGATTAGTACATTTAATTATTTAATGTGCTAATATTACAGGTGATAAATATTACAGGCAATAATAACTTCTACATGTATTTTCAGGGTCCTCAATTCTCTACATTCTTTAGTTCAAATATTCTTACCCTTAAAATGACTCATGCCATGTATAAAGTAAAAGAGAATCAGAACACTATGCTCTCCTAAAGTATGATCTACATAAATAATTATCTTATCCACTCACGTGCATTCAAATTAAGAAACTACATTCCCTTCATTATGAAAATTACTGAGAGCCATAAAAATCTTACTCGGAATATTCAGAAATGTATAAAGAAAATTAGGAAATACTGCTAATAAATAAGTACATATTAGTTAGCTGCTAAGATATGGAGTATATATTTAGTAACAAATACTGCAAGGAAAAAAACCTCTAAAATGAAATTTCTTAATATAAAAATGAATTACCATAAGGTATATGAAACACATTTGCTATATATAAAAAAAGAAATCAATGAGATTTCAAATACGATGGAATAGAAATACTTAAGATTTATTAACTTACTCTCTCTTATGTTATCCCAATTCCATTGATCATTCTTAAAGAAAGGATGTTGTTTGATTTCTTCTACCCCATTCCTCCCAAGTCGTACCTCCCTAAACAATACAGTAAAAGATTCTATTATAAAAATATAATTATCAAAAAATAAAAACACTGACGCTTTAGTTTATCTAGACAGTTTTAACAAAATAAAGATCACAAATGAGTTTCAGATTTTTTTACATCAAAACTTCAACTTAAATGTTTGCCAAAAATAAGCAATCCAACTTTATAATATGTGATCTCTGGATGGTCTTAAAAGACTGTAAAAATTCCCACTGGTACCCATGTCAAATAAAGTACTTGAGTCTTTTAAGTAACAGAATCCCCCCTACACATGCCAAACAGCATGACTAACCTCAGGATATAAGAAAAATTAAATTTAGACAAAGAAGAGGTATTTCAAATTCCCTGAATAGAAGTATTATTTTAAAGTTCTTTCTCCTCTGCATTTTCATGAAGACTGTATGGACAAAGGTAGCATCTACTTGAGGTATGTTCCTGGGGCAGGAAACTGCTTAAAGGGACATGGCTCCTAGCCACATTTACGGCTTTACATTATTTTCAAATTATCTTTCTCCACATACAGTCATTCCTTAGAACGTACCCTTCCCAAAAAACTGCTAAAGTCAATTTTCCATGAACAGTACTCTTCATTAACATATGCTGTACCCAGTCCCTAATAAAACACTATACAGGATATTATTTTCAGTTTATCATTATTGATTGCTCACAAATCATACAGTTAACAAATCTTAAAATTGTAGTCAATAAATGACTGATAAATATAAATCAACTTTCTGGCCTCTGGTAGAAAAAAATTTAAGGACTTTTATAATGTTCAGGGTTTTTTTTTTGTTGTTGTTGTTTTGGTCGGTCATGGGGCTTGAATTCTGGGCTAGGGCTCTGTCCTTGCACTCTTCAGCTCAAAGCGAGTGCTCTACCACTTGAGCCACAGCACCACTTCCAGTTTTCTAGTGGTTTATTGAGTTAAGAGTCTCATGGAGTTTCCTGCCAGGACTGGCTTTGAACTGCAATCCTCAGATCTCAGCCTCTTGGGTAGCTAGGATTACAGGCATGAGCCACCTGCGCCCAGCTATAATGTTCAGTTTTTATGAGAGAAAAACAATCATTGTTAATTGATATACTAACACCTCTGAAAAATCAGCTTTAAAATGAATCTCAGAATTCTACTGTTAATTTTTTTTTTTTTTCCGGTCATGGTACCTGAACTCTGGGCCTGGGCGCTGTCCCTCAGTTCTTCAGCTCAAGGCTAGCACTCTACCACTTGAGTTTTTCCTGCTTATGTGGTGTTGAGGAATCGAACCCAGGGCCTTATGCATGCAAGGCAAGCACTCTTCCACTGAGCCACCTTCCCAACCCCATCTACTGTTAACTTTTTATATAAGAAGTTGTGCATGGTGAGTCAAGCCTGTTCTAGCTACTAGTAAGAAGAGGCAAAATCAAGGTTTGGGCATGAAATTTGGAAAGATACCATCTCAACGAAGGCTGGGTGCAGTAACACAAATTTGTCATCCCAGCAACAAGGGAAGCACAGACAGGAGGATCACAACCTGGCATAATGTAAGACCCTACCTCAAAAATAAATGCATGGGCTGGGAAGGTGGTTCAGTGGTAGAGTGCTTGCCTTGCATGCATGAGGCCCTGGGTTCAATTCCTCAGCACCATATAAGCAGAAAAAAACGAAAGTGGGGCTGAAGGCTCAAGTGGTAGAATGCTAGTCTTCAGCAGAAGAGCTGAGAGACAGTGCCCAGGCCCAGAGTTCAGGCCCCACGACCAACAAAAAAAAAAAGGGGGGGGGCTGGTGGAATGGCTCAAGAGGTAGATCGTTTGCCTAGCGGGCAACCAGTATTTCTCTGTGTGTGTGTGTGTGTCTCTGTGTGTGTGTGTGTGTGTGTCTCTCTCTCTCTCTCTCACACACACACACACACACTCTAAAACCCAGTGACAACCAAGAACAAAAATATTTATACAACAAAAATTATGCCAAGATATGGGTATGAAGTCACTACAGTGCTAACAGCACCTTCAACATAGTACTGTGCCTTGTGCTACAATAGTATTGTACTAGGAACTGTACTACATTAAAACTAGAAATATCCTTTGTTATGAATCTGAACCCTTCCTTTTACAGATGGGCAAAATAATTTCCCAAAAAGATAACCAATTCCTGGAGATCACAAACTGATGAACAGAAAATTAGACTGTAAGTATGTGTTGGCCTTTTGCTAGGATGACTTCTATCACAGTATAAAGCAGAACTTCAGGAAATTGCAAACAGAAACCAAGGAAGAAAAATCTTCTCTTTCTGAGGCAGATTTTCATATCTTGTTCCTCTATTTCTTTTGGGGGGTGTGTCAATAGCAGGGCCAGGATACTCTCACTTAGCTTTTTCCACCTAAGATTGACATTCTACCACTTGTGACACAACTCTACTTACAGCTTTTTGCTGGTTAACTGCAGATAAGAATTTCAAGGTAATTTCTGCCTGGGCTTGGCTTCAAATGACAATCCTCAAATCTCAGTCTGAGTAGCTAGGATTACAGGTGTGTGTAACCAGTGTCTAGCTATTTGTTTTCTTCTCCTTTTCTGAGTTGGTCATGGGGCTTGAACGCGGGGCCTAGGTGTTTTGAGCTATTCTGCTCAAGGCTAGCACTCTATCACTCTGAGCCACAGCTCCACTTCAGGTTTTCTGGTGGTTATTTGGACATAAAAGTCTCAGACTTGCCAGATGCTGGTGGCTCACGCCTGTAATCCTAGCTACTCAGGAGGCTGAGATCTGAAGATCTCAGTTCAAAGCCTGTCCGGGCAGGAAAGTCCATGAAACTCTTACCTCCAATAAACCACCAGAAAACCACAAGTGGCGCTTTAGCTCAAGTGGTAGAGCGTTAGCCTTGAGCTGAAGAGCTGAGGGACAGTGTTCAGGCCCAGAGTTCAAGCTCCATGACTGATAAAAAAAAAATCTTGCCTCAGCAGACTTTGAATCAAAATCTTTAGATCTCAGCCTCCTGAGTAGTTTTGATTACAGGTATGAACCACCCTATTTGTTTCTTAAAATAAAGAATTTCCATCATAACCACTACCCACCACTGCTACCACCATGGCTAGAAAAGAACCACCACTATAAAAGAAAAAAAATTAGAATTTCCACAGACTTGTGTCTATTCAAGAGCAAATAAAAAAGGATTGGGAAGGAGGTACTATATGCTGAGCATAAGTACTTTTCAAGATTATGCAGATATTGTATCTATACAAACTGCTTACCTCTCAAAACTTATTAATCTATTAGATTAATCGGTAAGATGTGAACAGGAAAGTTTTATCTCTTTCAAATGCTTTGTTTTTACTATGTTTTTTTAAAATTAGACGCAAACACTAAGACAAGCATTAAATTACAAATGAGCTGCACAAACAAAAAGATGAGTGTATGGGGCTGGGAAGGTGGCTCAGTGGTAGAGCGCTTGCCTTGCATGCATGAGACCCTGGGTTCGAGTCCTCAGCAGCACATAAGCAAAAAGAAAAAAGCCAGAAGTGGCGCTGTGGCTCAAGTGGTAGAGCGCTAGCCTTGAGCTGAAGAGCTGAGGGATGGCACCCAGGCCCAGAGTTCAGGCCCCACGACTGGACACTCCCCCTCCTACCCCCCCCCAAAAAAAAGATGAGTGTAATTTAGAACAGGCTTAGCAGCAGGAAAAGAATAGAGATGAATTAAATGCAACTTAATAAGAGATGTTAATTTCATATGTAAACGAAATATTCTTTCATCTCTACAAATTTAAAAGAGCTTCTCTACAAAGAAATTCAGTGTACATTACCTGTCTGTTAAGAAGGCACAGATGAGACTCTTTGCATGTCTAGAAATTTCTGCATCTTCAGGGAAACAGAGAGAATTTTTGTGATCCATAATTTTGCTGTAAGTTCCTACAAGTGAATCTGCATAAAATGGAGTATCTCCTAAAAGTCCAAGGAAGAAGAGAGTAAATGTAATGCAAATATGAATTAAAGGCTTTTCATCTAACATTTAAATATTTTAAGGTTAAAACCACCCACATAAATGGAAGAACAAATGATTTTTAAGCCAGAAGTCATACTTAAAATACATACACAAGCAGACATATCAAAATAATATATTTAATATTTGTTATGTATGTGTGGTCCTGGGGTTTGAACTCTGAGCATGAATGTTGTCCCTGAGTTTTTAGGTTCAAGGCACTCTACCACTTGAGCCAGAGCTCCAATCTGGCTTTTTTGGTAGTTAACTGGAAATAAAGTGTCTCACTGGCTTTACTTTCTGGGTGGGCTTTGAACCTCAGATCTCAGCTTCCTGAGTAGCTAGAATTACAGGCATGAGCCACCAGCACTCAGCTAATATATTTAATTTTTAACTACTTCAATGATCCTTCCATCCCTAAAAGCAAAATATAACCAATGTTAGCTTGAGACAGGTATAGCTCAGATAACTTCAAACTTTGGTTTCCTACTTTTATCTCTGGGTTTTTACTTTTAACAGACAAAAGTTAAATACTTTATTAATTCAAGAAAAAGGTCATTAGGAGAGGTGAGAATGAGCTGGATCAGCCATTTGAGATGACTTGCTATAGCTGTTTCACAACTCAGCAGCCACCAGCTGTCTATGACAACTGAAAGCTGAACTTACATTAAATAAAATGAAAAACAAAGTCACATTTCCAGTTTTCCATGTGGTCAGTAACTATCACACTAACAGGTGCAATATGAATTGTTCGTGCCAGACTGGATGATGTTGCTCTTACAGTCTTAGAGAGGCTGAATGGATCTGCCTAAGATGATGAGTAGCTAGAGGAAGAATATAATCATCTCTCAATGCAGTGTTCCTGGTAACTAATGACAGCCATACCGGTACTCATCAGGAGCCACAAGATTAAAAAGACCTGTATGGTGGTACAAGTTAAATGTTCCCAAATCAGGCAATCTAAAACTTCAAAAGGTATATTCAGATGGTTCCTTATTTGAATTCAAAGGGGCTTGAGCTAAGCACTTAAATTAATATTTTTTCTTGGGCAATACTTTAAATGAAAGCCAATGTCAGAGCATCACAGCAGTCTGAGAGTACAGAAAATCATTGCCATTCAAATTCACTATCAGCTCTCAAATAAACCAGATTACCTCCTCTAAAGTACTAAATCCCTAGAAACAGTGGCAAGGCAAGTAAGAGAACACATTCTTCTTTTAAAGGATTACAAGAGCCATCTTAATGCCTCCTCAGATCACTTGCCAAAGTGGAAGAAATGGAGAACAGACAGCTTCTTGGCACCACTTGGTGGGTTCAGAGATTCACCACAAAGGCAAAGGCCCAAAATAGAGTCACAGTATAACCTGACACTATGCTTAACAAAATCCATCCTACATATACTGAATTGTCATTAAGAGAAGGGAATTATGTCATTATTATTTACATTTACATTATTTATATTTATAATTTATTAAAAAATTGGACTTTTTTTTAGCAGTCATAATATATCATAAAACAGATTTTGCAGTACCAATTTTTTTCTTTCTTTCTTTTTTTTTTTTGTGTGTCTGTCATGGGGCTTGAACTCTGAGCCTGGGCACTGTCCCTCAACTCTTCAGCTCAAGGCGAACGCTCTACCACTTGAGCTACAGCGCCACTTCCAGTTTTCTGGTGGTTTATTGGAGATAGGAGTCTCATGGTCTTTCCTGCCCTGGCTGGCTTTGAACCGCAATCCTCAGATCTCAGCTTCTTGAGTAGCTAGGATTACAGGCATGAGCCACCAGCATCCGGCTTACCAATTTCTTTTAACATTTTTAAAAATCTTTTCTTTTTTTGTACTGAGGATCGAACCCAGAATATTACACCTGCTAGACAAGTCCTTTGCCATTAATATCCCACCCCAGTACAAATATATTTTAAGCTCATCTTCTAGAAAATAAATTCCAAAATAAATTTCAAATATTTTCAACTCTATCATCACTCTTAGGCTTTTTACACTTGCCTTAGAAAGAAGATCTAGCTATACTTTCCCTCACCCCTAAGCCAGGTAACTCAGTCAGAAGATGTTTTTGTGACCCTAGAGTGTAGAAATGGGACAACTTAGCAACAAAATCTATACAGAGACAGTTTTGAAAACTTCAAATTTTTTATTTGGTCAAAGATACTTAATTTCCTTCCGAATTTTCTAAAACAAAAATATATTTGCCTTAAAAATAAAATTGTCGGGCTGGGAAGATGGCTCAGTGGTAGAGCACTTGCCTTGCATGCATGAGGCCCTGGGTTCCATTCCCTAGCACCACATAAGCAAAAAGAAAAAAGCCAGAAGTGGCGCTGTGGCTCAAGTGGTAGAGTGCTAGCCTTGAGCTGAAGAGCTGAGGGACAGC